CTTTTTAAATCTAGTCCCGTCTAAAATCTCTTTAATTTTCCACGGAAAAACAAAGAATTAGTAGATGCCTGGTAGATTCATGTTCGTTTTCATTGTCAGGATCAAACGCCAAGTGTATCAAAGACGTTACACAAATGAAACGATACACGCGACACATGTATGCATGTCTCGTCCATTGAAACGATCGAACCTTTTTCCACGATTCTGAATATTTCAAAATGCTGTCACATACAAATATTTACAAGAAATTCGTCGAAGAATACTATCGTGATGTTCTAAAATGACAATAAAAATCATCTCGAATTAACTTTTAATCCTGCGTAAAGAGAGATGAATCGAACCAATCTCTTTCATCACCTGCCATTTTCCTCGACAACCCCCATGCACCCCGCATTATTACCATCCAACGATCCATCGTAATCCACGACACTCGCTGCAAAGGTATATCCTGAACGCTACACGGTTGCATTCTGCATCGCGCGAGAAGCGCATCGCCGCTTTCGAGCACGTACAATGGCTCGCTCGTTCTCGTTTTCTCGTGGCAAAATGCCACGAGCAACCCCTCCTTCCTCGACCCTGCTGCTCCGGAGATGCGTTCCACGCTAGGGGTGGCTCCGCTTTAACGTGCTCTCTCTCTCTCATCCGCTTGGCTGGCTTCGATATACGCACAGCCTCCACACACAGTTTTTATCGTCTCGCATAACGCGTAGAAGCCAGCCAAGAATCGCTGTTTGCTACTTTTAGTAGGTATTGTTGCCGTAAATGCGACGTGGCTGGCAAATAAGGGGGTGAGAATTTGCTCGGTGATACTTCCTGTTTTTTTTTTTTTCTCTTTCGACGAAAAAAGGGGAACGTAATAAAATTATATGACGAGATGCTTCTTCGATCTATCTCTTCTGGAAAAAAATATTTGCTATTTTTTTTTTTTTGAGTCGCGAAAAAATTATTAATCGATTTATCATCGATGCCGAACGAAATATAAATCGAATAAAATCGAAGAACGAAATATCTTTCTATTCTTTTGGAAAAGAATATAATTAAAAAAAAAAAATTAACGCGTAGAGGGTAGGATAGATAAATGACGAAAAGAAATCTATGCGCGTATCGTTTTCTGATTAACGAAATATCTCCGGTTTCCATGGCACGCAGACAACCGTATCGATGAAAATTTTCGAATTCAATACCCCCCCCCCTTTCCGCAACACAGCCCGATTGCCCCGATACGATCGGGGCGCAGGAATGAAATTTTATCCATTATCGAATACGAAAGAGGCGGGCTTTAACGTTGCTGCCTCGACGTTGCATTTTACACACCGCACTTAATACCCTATTTAACGCTTGCTCTGTGTAATTGGACATGACTAATGAGTCGCGTATAATTAAGCAATTTATACGATTCTCGCGCGAATCAGTGCAGTCGACTGCGCCGTCATCAATGGATTACGAATTCCGATTAACACGACTTCGAGGCTCTTTCCAATTTTCCTATTTTTCTCGCTTTTAGTTTAAAAAAGAAACGCGAGTAATTAACTCTTCCACTCGAAGAAAGGGAGGCGAAGAAGAAATCGATTTCCGGATCTTGTACGCCGTGTATCGGGAGAGAGAGGGAAGCTATAAATTACTGGTTGGTCGTTACATCGACTCGTGCGCTCTGCCAGGATGAAATAAGGAGTCGATAAGATTTGTTAATGGACCGTTTTAATCCGTTCCTTAGCGGCGAGTTTATATATGGATAAAAGGAAGGACAAGAAGATACGAACCGTTATACTATTCAGCCATTCGATTAATAGCGAAGAATCGTATAAAATCGTTCGATAATGGAATCCTTTTCTCCTCTTGCACCACTTCCTCTTGTAGGATCAAAGATTTATACGTGTAATACGATCCTTCGAGGAAACGAAAAGTCTCCTCTTCTTATGATTTAACGTTGAAGTTTCAATTTCCGATACTTCGACGCGAGATACGATACTTCCTGTCCATATCATCCCCCCAAAGATATATATTCCGATATAGATAAAAGTCCAATACGAGAGAAGATCCCCTTATCTTTGGATATACAACGAGTTATATACCATCTAAAATATTCGGGAGATCGTCCCGTTTTTCCAACAATTCGCCACCGATTAATTAAAACGAACAAATAATATTTCGTTCCTCGCTCGAAATCGTTCAAAACGCGTCCCAAAAACGTAAAACGTTCCACGATCCACGGATGATGAATCGCGCAAACACTCGAATCTCCGCAGCAAACCTGCCATCAAACGCAGCCGCCTCCCGCTAATCCCACGCAACACGGTGAACACCTATCGGTTGCATCCGGTGTTCAAACGTTAAACCAAGGGGGTATGTAAAATGTTCACCGTACATCGATTCCACACTACTGTACTATACCGATTCAGGCTGAAAACTCGTAATCTCGATACAACCCCACGATAATACATCGAGGCGGGTGGATGGTCGAGATAGGTTATTGGAGATACGCCAATGCCGATGATTTACCATGAAATCCGCTAGTTATTGCGTGGGAAACGCGGTTTCATTATTTATAACGTTATATCGAGAGCTTGTGATACTTTTGCCGGGGTGAACGGGAAAAATAAAGCGCGGTGTGTCTGCGATGAAATAGGCGATTTTCACGGTCGGTGTGTGTGTGTGTGTGTGAGAGAGAGAGAAAGAGAGAAAGGGTGTTGGACGCGAAGGGAGATATGGAGGAAGGTAAAGGAAGGAGAAATCGATGTCGGACAAGAGCGCCGCCTCGAATTATTACCGGATGTTTGCCAACCGCATCGATTTACAGGCCTGGTTTCTCTTTTCCTGTCTATCGATGGAAATGGTGGACCTCTTGTGTGCAAAGTGGTGTGCAAGTTTTCTTGGGTCACCACGGCAAACCTTGATTTACCAGGATGCAAACGGTGGTGGGTTATATGCTTATATTGGAGGATTGGAGGGTCGATGGAGGAAACCGATCGATGAAGGAGGTTGTTATATGTGAAATTATGTGTGCGATACAAAATCTGCAAATAAAAGATACACACGAAATGTTAGGAGACGCGAAGTGTATCTCAAGTGTAAAAAGGAATATTTTACGACGATGAAAATTTTTGTTAAACTTGTTTAGACGGAATTTTCGAGGTAATTAATTTCGAAAATCGATTCGCTTGAAATCGATAAAAAAAATAATTAAAAACGCGTATTCCTTTCGAGCTCAGCTAGCCCGATATATATTTCATGTACATACATATTTTTTTCCATTCCAATGGTCGAACAGCGTTTTTTTTTTGTTCCACTGTTTCGATGTATTTTAATTAAATGGAAACGCGATGCGCATGGGAAAAACAACAACAACAACAACGAAAAAAGAAGTCGATACTCCAGCGAATTTTTTTATTCCAACTAGATTTCCAAAGAGGAAATATATATATATATATGTTTGCTTTTAAATTTAAATCTAATATGTCAAATATTTAAATTATAATCCTGAATCTATGTAATAAATGGAATAATAAATGGAATATAGATCGAATATGTCGCTTCTTACCTGGCCAATTCTCTCTGAAGATGATGAACCCTTGAGCGTGCTCTTTCAGCTTCAGCCGTAGCCTCGCGCACCCGAGCTTCGGCCTCCATTCGTTGTCGTCGTTCGCGTTCCACATCTCGTTGCGTAGCCTCTCTCTGTAACAAGCAACATTAACATTTCCTTAGAAACAAACTTAGAAACGTATCTTCAAATTCGTAAAAAAATCCAACACAATCTTCGTTCTTGTCCTGATCACAATATATCTTTTTAATTTCAACGCGTAAAAAAATCTATTATCTATACATCTGCTTTTTGTTGTACAAAAATACACAACGTTTCCTCTCATCATCATCCCCGCCATTTAACATTTAATCAATTCTTCTTCTGCATCATTCAGAAGCCGTTCCACTGCCCTCCATAGCGGCCATCGAGAGAGCGTCTTATTCATGTGCAAATTTATTTCTCCTCAACGTCCGATTGATCTTCCCACCGAAACGCGCATAATATCTTCTCTACAGATGTTCGTCAAAACGAACGCTCCCCTCGCCCGTGATAATTTTCAATGCCGCTTCTTCTTCCACCCCTTGAACTCGCAGAGATAGAAAGAGAGAGAGAATTTTATTTTTTTAATGCGCTTTTCGAACGAGCATAATCGAGCGGATTTATCGTCCGGATTTCCGGCTCGAAACGAGTCGAATAAAAGAAAAACAGGGAATAAACGAGAGAATAAAACGTGGAAAAGCTCGTCTACTTTCCTATTTACGACCATCTTCCTGCCAGGAGGACCTTCGATCCGTAAAAAAAAAAAAGGAATTTTAACACGTTTTGCGCGTTTGTTCGGGGGCTCGTCATCGATTTCTTGCCAAGTTTTCCGCTATTTCGAGTGTGGGAAAGCGACAGAAGCAGAGAGGAAATGCAAATCGAACGAGAATCGTTTACGCGGACCCGCGATTCATTCGGCGAAGGATTCGTTCGTTACAGAGGATTTCGTGCTAGAATTAATTTCGGTCGAATCATATGGAAGAGTGAAAGTAAATTGGTCTTTCGGATTAATTGTACCTTTTCAAATAGTATTTTTAATACGGATTTTTGCTCGAACCGGTATAAAGTATAAAATAAAACGTGTACGCAAATCTCGATGAATCTAAGAAAATAAAGCATTCGACGGTAATCTCATTAAAAAAAAAAAAATCCTCATAAACCGACGATCACTTTATCGTAACAATTCCCTTGATTCCTTTCTTTTTCACAGACAGATCAATCTCGTTCTCCCCGATCGTATCGCGAAACTCGAAAATTGAAACTCACGCGAATTTCTTCAAATTTCATCAGGCGAGCTTCGGATCCAAGATCGAAAGGAGGCAGGGATTTTCTCGATTAAACCGAGAAAGGGACGCGAGCTGATCGAGGAGAACTCGAACGATGGAAGAGGAGGGGCGAATAAAGGAGAAAAATAAGCGGAAGAGGAGGAAACCTCGTCGATCTTCCGTCCGATGGCTGGAATTATTCATGAATTTAAATCGTTGCACGGCACATTGATTGCACCCTTTCGATTCTGAAAGCGGCTAAAAGCAGCCTACGCCACGGCCGTTGCTGCTCTATCAATAATTGCGCCACGGCCAATGCGCCGAAAGCGGTATTTCGCGCGATTTAACTCGATATATGTCGGGGCCCCGTTTAACGACGTCCATGATAAATCTCAGTTGGAAAGTGAATTCTCGTATTGGCTCCGAGTTGACCGAGACGAGTTTTCCGAGCACCGATTCCTTCTCGACGTTTCAATTTCTTCTGAACTTCTTCTCGTTACTTCGTTTGCTAGCTTCTTCTTGATAGATTTCTTCAGAGGATTCGTTTTTTTCTTGCTATCCACACACATAGTCTGTTTAAGATCGTGTTTTGTCGTAGGGTTGAAGAGAAATTGGTTTATGGTAAATGTTGTTAAATTGAGAAACAGAGAAGATATCGAGAGAATGAGTTCAATGTTCTAATAAGCTTGTAACAATATCGTATATATTAAGGATGGTACAGAAGAATGGATGAACGCGAGGAATAATTCTTTTATGATTGATGATACAGTAATCGCGTTTAAGGAACGCGAAGGGAAGATATAAATGAACTTTTCGTGATAAATGATCGATTGCACATACACACAGGTCTGAAAGAAGAATTAGATCGATGTGAACTATCCTCGGGCAAACGATGTATTTATATTTATCCTCCAAATTATGAATGGTGATATGATTGCGAGAAAGTTATAAAAAAATATATATATATATATATAATAGACGTATAAATATCGTCAAAGCGGTCGAAAAATTTATCAATCGTTCGGCGAATCCTTTCGAATACGGCATTGAGATGCGTCACCGGTGAATCTCGTTAGGAACGTAAATTTTTCACGCGACACACGTGTCCCGAATGAAACTCACGTGCGGTTATCGATCGACGTGCCCACCTTATCCGTTGTGTAAGCAATTCCTTTTAGAATACGTTGAAGTATTCTTTCCTCCCCTCACGGATTCAGCTACCGTATTCCTTAATTTCTACCTCGTCCTTACGTCAACGTGACTTCGTAACAACTCCCGCCATATCGAGAAAAATCTTCGTTATTCGTTCAAACATCCTTTTTATCGTAACAAATAATAACCGCGCGTTATTCAATGGAATAACAAAGCATCGAAAGAAGAATGGAAAAGTCGACAATGGTCCAGCCGAGCGAGGTAAAACCGATATACGAAATCTTTTGGAACTTTTACATCCTCGTTCGAGAAAAATGATTACAAAGTAATCTTGTGATAAATTTTAAGCCACGTCGACACAAAGCCAACGTCGAAGAACTTTATAGAATCTTTCGCAACTACATGTTAATTTTCAAAGCTATACACATTTTCTATCTACAACAGATTCTCATTATTCATTAATACACCTCTTTCGTGTACATTTATTATTAAGATTGCGTTAATATCGACGATAACGAAATCAACGAGTCGTCGTGTATTTCTTCTTTCATCTTCGCTTCGAATGGAAACGGATAACACGGTTTACTGCACGCGAACAGAAACACGAAGAAGCATCTACAGAAATATTCGGCAACTTCTTCGAGGTGCGTGCAACGTGGAGAAAAAGTTGCCTCCGATGAACTTTGTCGGCCGCGTGGCGGCGCGGTTGAGTTAGTGACGAAAAAGGAGAAGATCGCGTCATCGCGAGTCTAGCAACCCCCGAAAAAGAAGAATGACGGGGGAGGGAAAAGAACCGGGATTTAAGGCTCCATAAATCCGGTTGAGGAGCATCCCTTAAGCCTCGCACACGCGGTGGTCACTCGGCTTTTACCAGATTGTATTCCGCGATATCTCTCGTTTCGACCCTCCGACTAAATCGCCTTTCACCTGACTCCGCTTAATGGACCAACCGCCCATTCGCCCATCGCGATGACTTTAACCGAAGAACCGTTTAATTCTGTACTCGATCGAAAGAGAGAGTCGAATTCCTTCTTATACGAGATTGAATCCTCCTCCAGAAGTGAAATCGAAGGTTTTCGCGCGATCTGAGATAAGAGTGGCGCGCAATTCTGCCTTTCGATACGAAGGCATCGTCGCTGTAGACGATTCGACAAATAATTATCGTTTTATCTCTATTAAACTTTGGAAATTCCACAACATTGGACGTATTCCAAATCGAGTTGCTTTATTTCAATAGCCACGCATACGTAATCCTTCACTCATCCAATTCCATAATTCTGTAACTCGCCGGAATGTTTAAAAACCACACACACACACGCTCTCTCTGGTAGCGTCTGAATACAAAAGAATAACCCGAGCAGCGTTGGAAAAAGCGTTAATCCGAAAGGACACACTCCGCTCACGATCGAATCCCGTGTACAGCGGCGCATCCATTCACCTCGTCCTTATTAGTATTCTCAGTTTTTCGGCGGTTCAAAGTCCCCGATGACTCAGCGCGTGCACGCGTGCGTTTCATTCGAGGCACGTGCGAGGAGAGAGGCTGCGAGTGGACCTCCGAAACCTGAGTTTAGAAAGGGGTCCCGTTTCGAGAGGGCTCGTTGATCGAGCGACAAATTATTAATGAGGCCGTCAATGATCGCGCGTACGCGGCTCGCTCTCGGCTGAATAATTCAGGGCATGAGCGGATTCTCGGCCACGATCGGATTTTCCGGCCTGATCTCTCTTCCCCTCTACTAGAGGGGACCACTCTACTTTTCTCTCCGTTTCGAGAGGAAAAGTGGAAGTTGGAAAGGCAGGTGAAGAAGGAGAGGGATTGATAGCTGGGTCACGTGCCAATGATCCTCTCGTCATTGGAAGAGGAGATAAATCTTGCAGCCTTCTTCGCGCCTTCCGATGGAGACGAAATGATGGCCCGTCGGGATTTAAGCCATTCGTGCCAGTGGTTACGAATTTTTTTGTATTTTTTATTCACAGCGTTGCGTGCGATTTGAAATAAATATGAAGACTACGGTGACAGTATAATATTATCTATAACAAGCGATTTAATGTAATTCGTAAAGAGCGAACCAGGTTTTGTTGTTCGGTGATCGAGTGTTGTTTTCACACGAGTTTGATATTCGTCCATCTGGTATCTAGTTCACAACAGATGGAGGACTCTTCTTCCCTTTCCCATAGAATTGACATACTGAAAGCGTAATAAAAAGAGGGAACACGCGTGATATTATTAAAAATACGGAACATAACAATACGAATAAATAGAATTCGATGTGTGACGCGTTCTACAACTTCAAAAAGTTATCGTCGTTGATCCTAAATATTAATTATCTTCCACCTTAATTAAAACAACACTTTAAGACAACTGAGTTAAAAACAAAATAAAATAAAAAAATAATAAAGATGGTTTTTAACAATTACAAATACGAAACTCGTGCAACGATAATCGCGGTTTAATCGTGCGTGTGGCAGTGAAAAATCACGACGAACGTTGATCGTTACCTTGAATGCGAATTTTCGCGCGAGAGTGCATCGATCGATCGCAAGTTTGCGCAAACAACGGCGCGAAATCCGCGCAAAAGTACACAAGAATCGCTCGTTGCACCCGTAATGCAGAGGTCGAAAGGTGTTAATTATCCTGTTTGCACAGTTACCCCCGTGGCGAGACTGTTTGCCACGGCTTTGATACATGCTCGGCTGAT